ACGTGTGAAGAGAGATTTCAAAACAAGGGGAACAGCTGCAAGGAGAAAACCTTGTTTGCTTCCTCGAAGTAAGGTGCAATTTAAAAAGAGGTCTTGGAAACAAACCCGAGTATTTCCTGGATAACAAGAGCATTAAACACATTTGGATATGAGATGTACCATATGTTCGATCACGTCTTGAGTGCTTTTGCATAAAACACACAATTTGTTCGCTAAAAAATTAATGTGTAATGGATTCCCCAAAAAGTACGTTCACCGCATTTTTCAGCGACACATTTTTAAAATTCAAGCATTGCAGCTGTTAAAATGATCAATTCATACTCAAATAAAAGAATAATTCAAATGCATATAATTTTTTCTCTTTTATACGTTATTTGTAATGTGATTCCAATATAATAATGCACGGAAGAATTTTGAAAAGTTTGCCGAAACGTTTTTAAGATACTTGTGTATGGTGCTGCACATCACTCCACTTTTGATTCAAATCTTTGGGGCATATGCTTGAAGCATGTGCCGAAAAGAAGAAAATGTGTCGAAGATATATTACTTCTAGAAATATTTTTCTGAAGAAAAATATTTTTGCTTTTTAATAATCCACATAAGCAGCAGAATCTGCTCCTGATGACTCGACAATATCCCGGTTACACGCCTGAGAAGTCGCCTCTGATTTAAGCGACATCTACGATGTTTCTGTCGAATCAATCATCAGAAAATCCTGAACTCATTGTTGGGCACTTATTAACCTACAAAATAACCATTATTCGACCATCGTCATCGTCGTCGTCGTCATGGTCGATTAACGAGTCATTAATGGTCACCAATAGGAAACGTGTTAGCCACCCAGCTGGTGCCCCTTAGGCAGGTGCTGGCCTACCCGGAACTGTAGTATTTACTGGTTCAGCACGAGCCCGGCAAGAAGGTTGCTGAACGGGAACTTGCTCAGGTGACACATCAACTTTGTCCACGCTGCCTCTGAGCCTCCGCACTTCCCAGGGCGCCCAAAGTTCAGGAGGTGAGACGTTTTAACGTGCGCTTAGGCCCTACCCTCCCAATTGGTGCCCGAAGTGTTCCAGCTGAACACGGTGGCATTCGCAGTTGTGTTCGCCAGGCTCATGTTCACCATGTCACTCGTCAATTCTTTAACCCGATAATAAAAACGAATAATGATGATTGAAATCATGTCAAGCGCAGTGCGTCGTCATAATTATCTCCAGCACGTGGGATGAATCGGACTCCAGATTAACAATCGAATGATTTCATGAGGAAATTGTCATTCATTCAGAAATTGTGACACTATATTGGAGGCTAGTTTTTTAAAACATAAACCATTAAAAACGTTTTGTCAGCAAAGGTAAAACGCTCCTTCACGCCGCAATTTAAATTGGAGACGTAAAATGATTGTTTTATAGTATACGTACAATCTCATTTCAAATACCCTTCTATCTTTTCTAATACATCTTTAATTTTTAATGGAAATTTATCTGAATGCTCCTCCAACCTTGAATTACAGTACCTGCACAGTAAAATTGTATTGCTGGAAACTTCAATGATTTATTTTCTTTCCAAAGACTTTGTATAGCAAGAAGGAATCATACAATACAATCCCTTGCAAATCTTCGACGAAATTTGATGAAAGATGCCCTGTTTTCCAATTAATTTTCGCGAGAGTTCGCGTTTCACATTCGGTTTAGTACAGTAGTGGATTCAAATTTTTATACTTTATTTTAAAATAAAAACACAACTGATGATAGGGTTTTAGAAATTGGATTATCCATAAAGCCTTGATTAACCATAAAATGCATTTTGAACTCGAAAACACTTATGAAGATCGAATTGAAGTATATACATGGTTCCGTGTTACTTTTTGTTTTTTTTCTTGTTGATTTGTTCTCTCTGAAAGCAGTAAAGTACTGTATACTGTATATACATTCAATTTCCTTGAAAAAGAAAATTAAAAATGCATTCATGAATTATGCTTCACTTGAATCTATAAAATACTTTTCAGTATAAAAACTAAATGGCTTATGTGAATTTCGAAACCAACCCCCACTGCGAAAAAATTGAATTATACTCACTGTTGACACGCGTTTCACATAAAAAACTTTTAAGGAAATTGCACTGGTCAGCCTGCCAATCGAACCGATTGTTCGCCAGCCGAACGACCTTCAGACAACAATCGGATTTGCTCGGTCCCTTTTTACTGCTGATTGGAAAGTACGTGTACGGGGATTCATCCGACCACACTGAAGTGCCTATTGAAATTGAAGAAAAAAAACGCAAAGGGAAAAACAGGCATTTAAAGAAAAGTTGGAAAAATTCCGCTCGGGATTTGCGGACAAAATATAAAGCTCGTCATGAACTCGCCAAACACGTTTGACTACGCGGCTAGGTCTTAAGCGACTTTAGGTGCCTCCAGTTTCGTCAAACGTGTTCACGAAGAAACAGAACGCACAAGTCCGAGTGGTCCACGGGAAAAAGCCTCATGCAAATCGCTTCCGCATCTCGCCAGGAAGCCCCGACTCTTTTCAAGTCGTAAATCGTCACGTTCTTCGATCCCGGCTTGACCTGGGTTCCGGTTGGTGCGCCTAGAAATATAATAGAAAAATATTTAAAAATGAAAACACCTGGAGGCAAAATATAGACCCCCTTTTTTTAAAAAAAATCCGTAGTTTGTTCCAAATCCTGGGATTTTTTTCGCTTCCTGCAGTCAGAAGCACGGAAAAATCGTGGTCAGTTCAAGGGAGTAATTCTCAATAATTTTTTTTAAGACGACAGACTACTTCTAAAATGAAGGGGAATATAAAATTATATAAGTGCACTCCTTAACTGCGTGAACTTTAAATTTACCCACACGAAACCCATCCCACCTGCTTGTTTTTGAACTTGCAGGTGGTCTGAAGTGATCCGAAAATGTTCGTTAACTCTTTTATTTAAGGTACCTAATACTAGTCTTACACTGCAGATATAGATCTAGTGCATAATTACTTTTACTAGTATAACTAGAAGTGTAAAGTTACCATGACTACGTCTTGTTCCGGTAGCACCTTAAAACATAAAGCATTAATAATATGAGATACAGGAATGGGCCAAAGAATCTTTGTCTTTCAATTCATGATCATCCTCAGAAAAATGACTCCCACCGCGGAATTAATTACTGTATTTCAATTTCCCGTACAGTATTTTATATTTAACATTTAAGAAGTAGACTGAAGCAACTTTAAATGACATTCTTCAGCTTGAAGGATATACGGTACTGTATTTTTATTCACGAGATAAAGCGCTTAATTTTTTTCCCTTAATCTAACAGCGCTTAAAATGTCATTCCAAAACACTTGAAGAACTTTTCGGACCAACTCTCATTCATCATAAGAAATTCCCGTTTACGGAAAGATGTTTCATTTCTATTCTTTCAATTCAAAGGCCTCTTTTTTTAGAAATCGAACACAAAATTGAAAAACGGAATAATCCCGTGATTTCAAAAACCCGCCCATCATCATTCATGCAGTAATAAATAAGGTACTGAACGTAAAATTGAAATGGCAACCATGAGAATCCCAAGAAGAAGGGAGGAAAGTCGTTTCAGCGTTCCTTGAAAATATCTTGAAGGATGAAATGAAAAAATTGGCAATAAAGGTATGAACTTTTAATTGTAAAGTTGAGTATAGATTAGCAAGACATTATGCCTCTATTAAAATTAGTAGGAGTGCGCAACAGTGGCACTAACTCGGCGTTAGCTCCTTAAGGGGCCGAAGGAAGGAACACTTGAGCGTGCCAGTGTAGGAGACATTCACACGGATACCCGGAAATTCGGCGGAAAGTGCATCAGCATTCAAATCCAAGGTCCTGTTGGTTCCGTTTCCCGTTAAAGTCGCCTGGTAAGCAACAGCAGGAAGCGGAAAACTCGTCAGCTCAGTGGTGAAGTCAGCAACACACGCTTGGGCGGGGTTCCAAGTCAGTCTCACGGAACCAGACCAAAGAACCGTTGCTGCTAAACCCACTGACCCGAGGAAAGCAGCTGAAATTTCACGGAACCGAGAGCGCGGGAAATTTAACGAAAATGTCAATCAAGCAAAAATTCGGAATTATTATTATTTTTTTCTTGCGCAGGCATTAAAGGCATCGACAGAACAAAGCTCCTGTTAGGACGTCGTCGTTCTTCACGTCAGAAGAAGCTTGGCTACAACTGACTTCTCTTTTAAAAAGAAACTTACGTACACTACGAGTAAAACACCTGATCGGAGGGTATTTTTTAAAATTATTCTCAAGTATGATTCAAACCCCATTTTCCTTGACGATCATCAAACTTTTTACGAAGCACCTATTTTTTTTTAAATCACGCGTTGATTAAAAAAAAAAAAACTCGTGCGATTGATGCAGAAATTTATCATTCGAATAGTAAGGCTCTCAGTGCTTCAGTCCGTTGTCATAAATTTCAGATGAAGCATGCATTCCTGAATTCTTCTCCAAAATTTTATGTTCAACGTCATCTCCGCAAATTTTTAAATTGATCACTAAAGCGCTGTGTCAGGCCAATTATTCTCGCGGCTCCTGTTTTGTCAAGCACAGCCTGTAGGATGCTAGCTATGATGTCTTTCAATTAGTGTGCTGGCAGACTGTTAAGTTCATAACACTCTATTGAATCGTGGATCGCGTTTTTTTGTGGTTGTATAAATTAAAACTCAGAATTTTTTTAATGCGCTGGTTTTCAGGGACAAGTTTTGCTAAATTACCCCCTTTTTTGGTGCTAAACCTTCAATAACGAACAATATTTTGAAAATGATTCAGGATTTGCTGAAGTCAAACACTATTGATGGCAAACGCTTGCGAAATTTTAGAACACTGAAATTCAAGAGGTCAGCTTTCAGCTTTTTAAGCACCTGAAGTTCTAGAAAACAAGAAAAAGTGAAAAAAGCCTTCTGGGATGCCCTTGTAGATGATATCAAAATAATCCCGTTTAACGTATTTTTCTGTCTCTTCAGGGTCACTGAATCAAGGTAAAACAAAAGTTGAAGGTTCTTTTGAATGATTGCTGGAATATGACTCATACGCTTGTTATTGAGAAGAACCACTTACTGAAATACAAATTTTGCACATTCGCGGGAGGATCAGGAAATCCATCCAGGACTGGTTTGAAAGTCACTGAATACGTTTTGGCGGTGTTCAAGTCGCTCAGCTTCACTTTCAAATCGCCTCTTGCGACTTCCTGGGTTATTATAGGTAAGAAATTCGAAGGTATTCAAATTAATGATTTTTACTCTTATTCAACTTGACAGCTCACGGTGTTGAAGGAAGTTTCTGAAACCGAAATGGAGTATTTTTTGGGCACCCATCCGAGGTCCACGTTGACCCATTTGATAAGGACTGCATTGTCAGCGATAGCATGCGCCGAAATATTCCGGGGCATCGCTAAGATAACTGCAACAATGAAGAATCAATTGTCAAAGACCCTCAAGGTTGAAGGCAAGGTTTATAAATTTAACAGAATTTTAACTATCGAAAATTTTAACATATCCTCATTTAAATAGTTCCGTAACGCTCGTAAGCGTTTATTAATCGAGCGTCTTAAAAGGTTTAGGAAGGTGAATTTCACATCGTTCCGGTTCCACTTCGCATTTCACATTATTATTTCAAACCTAATTTTTTTCAATGTCTTCGTGCAGTCGAAGTTCGGTATTTGTGGTTTAATATTGGCATGCATTATTTCATTGTGTGCTATTCAAAGAACGTAATTATTTGATTTTGTAGAAATAATTACAATCAAATTGAGAAATTGTTATCGTAGGCGTGATGCTGGTGAAATACTGTACTTCAGTATACTGTATATGGTAAAAAAAAAACATTGTCATAGCGAAAAATGATATGCCACTAGAGAGCAAACACATCTTGGCATAGAACAATTGCAGGATTTAACCAAGAAATAATATTCGATGCGTTGGACTTTTACCCAAACCCAATATTGTACTGTAATTATTGAATCCCTTAAGGCGGATTTTATTTTTCGTAAAACTTTGTCAGATGCACGTTTCTGTAAAAGTCACGTGTCTGTAATTTAGAGTTTTCACCTTATATTTCTTTAAAACTGATCAGTCTGCAAGGTATACATTTGCTTCAATTCAATTTCTTTTTTTTTGTACTTTCTACAGTAACCAGTGTCGCGTCTATAAAACTCACAAACGTACCAAAATATAAAAGTACTGGATTAAACGGAAGTGAGAACTTTAAACCCAAACAATATGTACGGTAAATAACGTACAAATAATCGCGTGAGCCACATCACACCCTCTATTGCTCAGACATCCGAGGCATCAAATATCACGCTTATACAAAAGACAGTGTAATGTTTAAAAAAAAAATTGGGCGATATACTGGTGATAAACCAAGCACCAAAAAAAACAACATCTGAAAAAATAAATAAAATTAAAATAAAAATGAGATAGATTCAGCAAGAAATATCTGACAGTTTGGACTCACGACCATTTGCCCTCTGGTCACGGGCCACGACTGCTGCCACGCCCTTGGTTGCGCCACACGGCACGGGTTGGGTCTGGAGCACGCAAGTGACCCGCACGTTGTACTCCTGACCCCAAACGGGTCCCGACACGGAGTACTTGGTGCCGGCGACCCGGACAACGGCCTCGGATGATGCCGCACCACCACCACCACCATCAGCAGATCCGACCGCTGCTGGTGCCACGCCGACCTCGTATTCGGTCGCCGCCGCCAGCAGGGTCGCGTCCGTAACCGCGAACGGCGCCGCGGCGGACCTGATCTTCACCACCGGCGGCGACCAGGTCACGTCCACTTGACCGAACGACTGCATCGTCAATGAGGGCGCCGTTACTGGGGCGAAATCTGAGCCAAAAAAAA